TGGAAGTCCTTGTAGCCACCCACCTGCCAGCAGCGACGGGGTGGTCCGTGACCTCCTTGTAGCCTCGGGCCCTCCGGTTGGCAAACAGGAAAAGCCTCCGGAGTAGCGTTCGGGTGCTCCGTAGCGGGGGCCCCCAGCAGTCGAAGCTGAGGCCACCGTGTGGTGCACCAAGGCTGCTAGCCAGCTGCACATTTGTGGTGGCCAAGCCGCCGTACCTGTGGTAGCGAAAGCAGTAGAGGTCCTGCGCGCCAAGAGACCCGGCTCGCGGCTAGCAGCAGGCAAGGGACCAATGTAGTAGCCGTCGGAATCAAAGGCGGGCAGTGCTTCGTAGCAGCAGTTAGGCAGATGCAGAGGCGTCTTTAGCAACAGTCGAGTAGGCTTGCTGTAGCTTGTACCAAAGGAGCGTTGCTGAAAAGCTGCCGTGCGGAAGCCTGCCGAAAGTAGCTCAGGAAATTGGGGCCATTGCCACATAGATGCGGGTCTCTGGCCTTTGTACGGCCCGGAGCCTAGCGCACCTAAGTCCTCTGGCTGCTCTAGCACGAAGGCTGAGGCAGCCCCCTGGGCTACTAGCTGAGCGACTTCAAAAGAAAAATCAGCAAAAATGTTGCCTAATATAGCTCGGTCCCTTTGGGCTGCCGTTAGCTGCGCGTTGCCCCTGGGACAGGCGTAGCTTCTGACCGGCACCGGCCCACGGAAGTTCGCCCAGGCCGCTCTGGAGAAAGTAGCGCAGGGTGGCGAGAGCAAAATTGCATCGAACTCTCTAGCTGCGACCCGCTGCAAGTAGGCAGTGCGAACCTTTTCTAGCGAAAGGTCATATCGCTTATCACGCAGGATGTCTACGCACTCGACAGAGACGTCCAGACCCATAGCAGTAGCAGTGTGGTGAAGACACGTAGCCATATCCCACGGGCGAACCTCGCCCGCGAACAGGTAGAGGACCTTGTAGCTGTGCGGCGGGCTTCAGTTGGAGGGCTTGCCTCCGTCGCCTTTGGCGCCTCCCGAGTTGGGGGTAGCCACAGGACGGCCGCCGGCTTTGCACTGGTAGGCCGGATGCTTAGCGAAGCATAGCTGGCAAACATGCTTGAAGCGGCAAGCTTTCTTGTGCGGGCAGCCTTGCTTGCTATTGTAGCGAAAGCAAATTGCCTCGCCTTCCGGCGTGGTGGTAGCCCCATTAGCCACGCCTTTGCCCTTGCCGTCGCCCTTAGCGCCCTTGGTGCCCTTGCCTTTGCGTGGCTGTCGGATCCAAGGGCTATCGGGCGGGGGGGCCGGGCGTTTAGCGTGAAGGGCCAGCGGCGTTGTGAAGTGCCGCTCCTTGAGGGCCGCATCCTTGTAGCTTTGCTTCAAGGCCTCTGCGAAGGAGAGGGTCTGCTGGGCCATGAGCTTGTAGCTGTGTTTGCGTATCGCGTGCTCGTAGCTGAGGACCAGATGCCACGGCGGCACCAGAGCACCGGAATCTTCACTAGATCGTAGCCCATAGCAAAAATCTCCCAGCAAGTATTCTTTATATTTTTCGAAGACAGCTTGCGTCACGTCCTTTAGCTCCGAGCGGGACGGGTGCTTTAGGCGGATCATGATCAAGGCATTGGCTAGCACTGTGAGGCGTAGCCGTAGCTGCTCTGGACCCGAGGGCATCGTTGTGCGAGACCCGCCTTTCCTTAGCGAGAGGGTGCCTTTAGCATCCCAGGCGGGCAGCAGGACCTCGGGGTCGACTTCGTCTCGGCTAAGCACTTCTGTTAGCGGCTCGGCTCGAAATTCCCCGGTCTCTAGCTCGTGCAACTTCTTCTCGATATATTCTTTAGCAGGAACGTGGCGGTCTTCAACTTCCCCAAACTGGGTAGCAAAGGCCTGTCGCATGGCGATGTAGTCCGTCTGTGGGATGGGTTTAGCCCAGTCCCGGACCTCACTTGTAGCTTCAGCCTCGGCCTGTGTCTTGACCCTAGCAGAAGCTGTCTGCCATGCCACAATGAAGCTAGCGATCTGGCCTCTGGAGGCAAGCGTGCCATCAGGAGCCATGGCGAAGGCGTCCTGAAGCACCTTGCGGAGATCTTCTTCGCTAGCAACAAAAGCAGCAAATTTCGCCATTGTATCGATGCCATTGTCGAAAAGTGTAGCCTGGTCAAACAGGCGGATCGGGTTTGACATTTCTCGATTCCTGCTGGAGCTGTGGCATGCTGTCAAGCCATGTTCAACCCTTCAGGCAGAAGGCAGCAGTGAACTTGAAGCGAAGAAACAGGAGCTTGCGGCTAGTATTGTGTTACATTCCGAAGTTCGCCAATGGTACACCACTTGTGAGAGCGCTGCGGCGGATCGTGTTTCATCAGTTAGATCAGTGTTTTCGCTGCAGGCCCGGGTAGCCGCCGTGACTGAAGAGCTCCGTGCTTCAGAGGAGAAGGCTGTCAAGAGTGTCAAAAAAGCCTTGTGTGCGTGCGTGCTCTGTTTGAATCTCGTGTAGAGCCGCAGGCCTCCCAACAGAACAGCGAGATGAGCGGGCTGCTGACCCTCGCCCAGACACTCCAGGCGCAGTCAGCTTCTAGACGGACCGATTCGCAGCGCTCATCTGCCGAAATGTGTCGCGTTCATGGAGGCACCCCACGACGATTTGCAGCAACAGCTGCACCACACACAAGCGGCCTTGCAGGCTTTCCAATAAGAGCAGTGCCTGCGCTAGACGTTACTTTTACTTGCTGTGCTGTGCCGTCGCCTTTCCTCATGTGCCTCATGTGCGACACACTGTATTGGCAGAAATCGCAGCGGCTGGGAAAGATTACCGGTCAGCCGTGCTGCAGGCACAGGAGCAACAGAAGATGAACGACAGCGCCGTCGCGGCAGAGGCCACACAGTCCTTGCAGGCAGAGCTGCGCGTCTCGCAAGTTTGGCGCGCAATGTGTTGACACCGCAGTGCCTTGTCGCATTCTGCTGGACATGAGGCTGCCAACACGACCTTGCAGACCAAGATCGACGAGTTACAGTCGCAGGCCGATCTCGTTTAACATTTCGCGTTTTTTGCTGGAGTTGCATCTTCCCGGAGTCTTGCGGTCAGGTGAAAGCAAAGCAGAAGGAGCTGGCGGCCCCGGCAGAGACCCTTCAGCCAAGTACTGGTAGTTGCGACGTTCGTTCGTCACCAACAGTGGCTCTGAATTCCCCTTTGAAGTTCCGGTTGCACCCGCTGCAGATGTAGATCATAGCATCCTGATGTGGCGGTGGCACGGCAGGATTCGGAAGCCAAAGCCACGGACGCCACCACGCTCCTGACTGCCCAACTGCAGGCCACCGACGGAGTTGTCAGGGTCGCACAGCTGAGACCGACACATGTCCGACGTGTGTTACTGGTGTTTCTGTTGAAGCTTTCCATGCTTGATGTCGCCAATCGACGGAATCTTAATCTCTGGATAGAAGTGACTTCCATGTTGGCCTCCTGGAGCTGTTGCAGGATATCCCCGTGGGCCGCATACTTGGGCGTCATGGAGGAGATTGATGGTTTGCTGGTTTTAGCAGTGACCTGGTTTTCGACATTATCCACCCGAGCCGCAAAGCCACGGATATCCTGCTTGACGTCCGAAAGAGCATCTTTGAGTTCCCCCAGAATGGCTTCTCTGATCACATCAAGATGGAGTGCTAGCCCGTCTGTTTGTTCCTGAGCCCTCCGCTTAAGGGCGGACCCCTCGATCTTGCGGCGGATCGCAACGGCACCCTCCGCACAGAGTAGGCTCGCCTCAGCGTTCCGGTAGTGGGTCACAGGCTCCCGCGCACGCCTGGAGCCCATATCGCATGAGATTGCTTGTTTTCCTCAACTCTGGAAAGCCAATCTTTTCTGCAATGTAGGGGCTTGAAACTGGGATTGAATCGTTGATAGTTGTACCCCCTAGGCTTAGCTAGTATCTTCAGCATAGAAACAAGCCGAGGACACGCAATTCACGCTGGACAGCAGGGTCACCGTACAGGACCGTTCTTGCAGAACTCGCCGCAGGCAACCCCCACGAGCAAGTCGGGTATAGCGGCAATCGTGCCGTACAACTCGATCGCGCAAGCTCTCCCCCCTTCTCTGGCCGGCCCTCACCCGCAATGTTTGCAGGCCCTCTTCTGTCTGGGCGGTGCGGCCTTGAACCACTCACGGCCTTGAGCCAAAATGGCTACTCTCTCCTTCGGCCTCTCTCTTTCTCTCTCGGTTTGTCTTTGTTTTCGTGCCACGCCACGAAAACGACATGCGTGTGAGCTCTCCCCTTGCTTGCGGTCGGACATAATGGGAGGGGAGGCCTGAGGACAGTTTCTCACATGCTTCTGCTGGGTTTACCTTCGACTGCAGTGTTTGTAGCCTGTCTGATTTTGTCTTGGCTGTTTGTTCCTGCCACAACGGACATCAACCCAGCTGTGCAACCCAACAGCAGAACGCCAGCGATGGTGGGCGGCAGTACGAGACAGGGGCTGTAGTGTGCAATTGCTACATTTGCAATGCACTTTGCGATTCACGAAGCTGCACAGTAACAAGGATTCCCCCTAACTTGTGTAGAGCACCTTTTCGTGAATGATTCCGGAATTGAATTCGTAGATCGGTCATTTGCGCGGGGGGCTATCCTCGACCTTTCAAGGACACCATTGCCTGAATCTTACTTTCCAACTGTTGGTGCCCTGCTTCACAACTCCCGCCATAGTGCCCGCCTCACACTGTGTCTCTTCTTTCTTGTGTTGGGCTTCTCGACGTTGTCAGGTGGCTGTGCGGGTTGTGCTGGTCTGAGACAAATCATTGGCGAGTCAGGCTCCTCCTACATCATGAAGCAACACACTGTTTTGCATGGTAAACATCGTATTTCAACAACTTCACTTCCTGCTGCATCGCAGGTCGTGCGAGCAGCAGGCGTGCGGGTTTTTACCACCAAGAATGTCCGGACTTGGCATTCCCGATCATAGGCGAGGCAAACGACAACTTCAATTCTGCCGCAATTGTCTTGGACTGGCTCAGCTTCAGATATCCATGACAGACACTTTGCTTTTTGTTCCCTCGCCTTGGCCTGCAATTCCATCTTGTCCGCTTCGGCACGTGCAACGGCCGTGGAGCGGATCTGCACACAGAGCTGAAATTCCAAAGCCAGGTGTTTTGTCTTTTTACATGAGCTCTCGCTTGCTGCATTCTCCGTCCTCTAGCTCTGCCGCGGCGGCTTGCTTCTGTGCCTCCAAGTCCTCCCAACTTGCGCATGGAATCCCAGAACAACTACCCAACAAAAAACGCTGCATTACCACAACGCAGTGCTGGTTTTCGTCGTCTTTCGTCAGAGAGCAACGGTAGTGATAGCACTGACAGAAGCGACAGCAACAGTAACCACAGTAGCAAAGCCTTACAGTGCGTTGCCTTGCAGTGCCTTGTAGCCTGGAGCTGCCCGGAACTTTGCTCACACCCGGATCTGGGTCGAAATGGTTTTTCGGATAAGATGAGTCCGGAAAGGAAGGCCAAAGCTCGTGGGACCACATCCTGGAATTTGATGATTCGTTGGGCTGAATCCTCCAAACTCTCAGTTTGGTGAACAGCCAAGCCATGCCAAGCCAAGATAACAGGAAGAAAGGCCCTCCAGGGGTTAGCTGCGTTATCGGAAAACTGTTTCCTTAGAACTCCAACGACATCTGGGAACTACTCCTGCAAAGCCTGCTCCGAACACTGCAACTTGGTCGTGAGCTCGTCGTTTGTCGCCTCCAGCCGGACACTAGGCCACGAGGCGACACTCATGATGGCATTGTGCATGGCACTGGACAGACTGACAGCAGGCTTCTGCCCCATGCAAGTTCTGGGAAGCTCGGACTTAAATGCTGCCCATTCTTCAGCTCCAGCAAACCAAAAAAATGTGAAAACTACTTGTGCAGAAGTCTGGAGCAAGTTGCCTGCAGTTTCTCCGCTGCGAGCACAGATTCCCGGAGCTCACTCTCATGACTCTCGACCTGCAGGCCAAACCCAACTTACCGCGGCCATTTCTGTGCTGACTGCTTCCGCTGCCTTATTTCGGGCAGCGACGAGCTGTGCGGCGGCATCGGCAATTTCGGCCTTTGGCCAGCCAGTTACATAAAATACTTCGTGGTCACTGCAACCACATATACATATCTATCATCTCTCTCTCTCTCTCTCTCTCTCTCTCTACATTTGTTTCTTTAACTGTTTATGTATTTGTACATATAAAAGGTATACCAGCAGCCGCCTCGAGGGTTTGCGATACGGCCGTGAGCTTTTGCTGCTTTACTTCTACCTGATCGCGCAGAATTCCGGGATGACAGCGCGCATGGCGGTACACAAGAAGGGCCTGCGTCTGAAGCTCTTCCACCTGGGACTGCAATGCCGCGTTCGCATCCTTGCAAGCACTACATACTCGACATGATGCACCGGGTTTGTATGACATGCCGCTTTGCCTGCAAGGCCTGTGCTGCTGCAACCGTCTCGCTGTACTTCATCTGCACCTGCAGAAGATTGACTACTCAGCAACATCACACCGAACTTGAACAGACAAGGTTGGGCAAACCCTCATTTGCAAGCAATATGCTCGAATGACGGGTTTGGGAAGGGCTTCATCCTGGGTATCGAAGCAGCTTCTCGTTTGATCGTAGGTCGTAGAAGGTTCCTGACATCAGGCTTTGCAAGGCCAAAACGAGGCAGGGTTGGAGTGCTGGTTCCACACCCGTTAGCGAACACAATGCTTCAATGACGGGTTTGGAAGACAGGCACTGCATCACCGCGTTTTGACGGCCGCAGCTGGGCCTCTGGAAGCACACTTGCGGAAGCCTGAGATGGCAGGAGGACGCCATGTATTCTCCCGAGGCTGAGATGTTGGTGTAAGAGGCATCGGCTTGCCGCGCGGACAAGCTCTGCCGAGAGTTCAGCTGAAAGCTTCGAGTGCCGCTGATATGCCGAAGAGCTACTGCTTCTCCACGAAGAGCTTCAATCAACTCCTTGCTTGCCTCCTGCTAGCTCGAGCTTGGAACGCATGTGCAAATACCACGAGACAAAAGACCTGTCCTGCGCCTGCACGGTCTCAAAAAGCTGACCGCGAAGCTCAGCGAACTGAGCACAGACGTTGTGGTTGCCCACAGTGCTTTGCAGATTATGCAGATTCCAAAACAGCTCGGCGATATGAGATCTCCCAAGCATGTCTATACCACTGCGAACGTCCCAACGACGTCTTTAAGCTTAATGCGGGCCTGCTTAGAGTACCTTCGACTGCGGTATTTGTAGCGTGTCTGATTTTGTCTTGGCTGTTTGTTCCTGTAACAACGGACATCAACCCAGCTGTGCAACCCAACAGCAGAACGCCCGCGATGGTGGGCGGCAGTACGAGACAGGGGCTGTAGTGTGCAATTGCTACATTTGCAATGCACTTTGCGATTCACGAAGCTGCACAGGAACAAGGATTCCCCCTAACTTGTGTGGAGCACCTTTTCGTGAATGATTCCGGAATTGAATTCGTAGATCGGTCATTTGTGCGGGGGGCTATCCTCGACCTTTCAAGGACACCATTGCCTGAATCTTACTTTCCAACTGTTGGTGCCCTGCTTCACAACTCCCGCCACAGTGCCCGCCTCACACTGTGTCTCTTCTTTCTTGTGTTAGGCTTCTCGGCGTTGTCAGGTGGCTGTGCGGGTTGTGCTGGTCTGTGACAAATCACTGGCGAGTCAGGCTCCTCCTACATCATGAGGCAACACACTGCGCTGCATGGTAAACATCGTATTTCAACAACTTCACTTCCTGCTGCATCGCAGGTCGTGCAAGCAGCAGGCGTGCGGGCTTTTACCACCAAGAATGTCCGGACTTGGCATTCCCGATCATAGGCGAAGAAAAAGACAACTTCAATTCTGCGCGCAATTGTCTTGGACTGGCTCAGCTTCAGATATCCATGACAGACACTTTGCTTTTTGTTCCCTGGCCTTGGCTTGCAATTCCATCTTGTCCGCTTCGGCACGTGCAACGGCCGTGGAGCGGATCTGCACACAGAGCTGAAATTCCAAAGCCAGGTGTTTTGTCTTTTTACATGAGCTCTCGCTTGCTGCATTCTCCGTCCTCTAGCTCTGCCGCGGCGGCTTGCTTCTGTGCCTCCAAGTCCTCCCAACTTGCGCATGGAATCCCAGAACAACTACCCAACAAAAAACGCTGCATTACCACAACGCAGTGCTGGTTTTCGTCGTCTTTCGTCAGAGAGCAACGGTAGTGATAGCACTGACAGAAGCGACAGCAACATTAACCACAGTAGCAAAGCCTTACAGTGCGTTGCCTTGCAGTGCCTTGTAGCCTGGAGCTGCCCGGAACTTTGCATTATTGGCCCTAAGTTGCTCACGCCCGGATCTGGGTCGAAATGGTTTTTCGGATAAGATGAGACCGGAAAGGAAGGCCAAAGCTCGTGGGACCACATCCTGGAATTTGATGATTCGTTGGGCTGAATCCTCCAAACTCTCAGTTTTGGTGAACAGCCAAGCCATGCCAAGCCAAGATAACAGGAAGAAAGGCCCTCCAGGGGTTAGCTGCGTTATTGGAAAACTGTTTCCTTAGAACTCCAACGACATCTGGGAACTACTCCTGCAAAGCCTGCTCCGAACACTGCAACTTGGTCGTGAGCTCGTCGTTTGTCGCCTCCAGCCGGACACTAGGCCACGAGGCGACACTCATGATGGCATTGTGCATGGCGCTGGACAGACTGACAGCAGGCTTCTGCCCCATGTAAGTTCTGGGAAGCTGGGACTTAAATGCTGCCCATTCTTCAGCTCCAGCAAACCAAAAAAATGTGAAAACTACTTGTGCAGAAGTCTGGAGCAAGTTGCCTGCAGTTTCTCCGCTGCGAGCACAGATTCCCGGAGCTCACTCTCATGACTCTCGACCTGCAGGCCAAACCCAACTTACCGCGGCCATTTCTGTGCTGACTGCTTCCGCTGCCTTCTTTCGGGCAGCGACGAGCTGTGCGGCGGCATCGGTAGTTTCGGCCTTTCGCCAGCCAATTACATAAAATATTTCGTGGTCACTGTAACCACATCTACATATCTATCCATCTCTCTCTCTCTCTCTCTCTCTACATTTGTTTCTTTAAGCTGTTTATGTATTTCTACATGTAAAAGGTATACCAGCAGCCGCCTCGAGGGTTTGCGATGCGGCCGTCAGCTTTTGCTGCTGTACTTCTACCTGATCGCGCAGAATTCCGGGATGACAGCGCGCATGGCAGTACACAAGAAGGGCCTGCGTCTGAAGCTCTTCCACCTGTGACTGCAATGCCGCGTTCGCATCCTTGCAAGCACTACATACTCGACATGATGCACCGGGTTTGTATGACATGCCGCTTTGCCTGCAAGGCCTGTGCTGCTGCAACCACCTGCAGAAGATTGACTAGTCAGGAACATCACACCGAACTTGAACAAACAAGGTTGGGCAAACCCTCATTTGCAAGCAATATGCTCGAATGACGGGTTTGGGAAGGACTTCATCCTGGGTATCGAAGCAGCTTCTCGTTTGATCGTAGAAGGTTCCTGACATCAGGCTTTGCAAGGCCAAAACGAGGCAGGGTTGGAGTGCCGGTTCCACACCCGTTAGCAAACACAATGCGTCAATGACGGTTTGGAAGACAGGCACTGCATCACCGCGTTTTGACGGCCGCAGCTGGGCCTCTGGAAGCACACTTGCGGAAGCCTGAGATGGCAGGAGGACGCCATGTATTCTCCCGAGGCTGAGATGTTGGTGTAAGAGGCATCGGCTTGCCGTGCGGACAAGCTCTGCCGAGAGTTCAGCTGAAAGCTTCGAGTGCCGCTGATATGCCGAAGAGCTACTGCTTCTCCACGAAGAGCTTCAATCAACTCCTTGCTTGCCTCCTGCTAGCTCGAGAACGCTTGGAACGCATGTGCAAATACCACGAGACAAAGACCTGTCCTGCGCCTGCACGGCCTCAAAAAGCTGACCGCGAAGCTCAGCGAACTGAGCACAGACGTTGTGGTTGCCCACAGTGCTTTGCAGATTATGCAGATTCCAAAACAGCTCGGCGATATGAGATCTCCCAAGCATGTCTATACCACTGCGAACGTCCCAACGACGTCTTTAAGCTTAATGCGGGCCTGCTTAGAGTACCTTCGACTGCGGTATTTGTAGCGTGTCTGATTTTGTCTTGGCTGTTTGTTCCTGTAACAACGGACATCAACCCAGCTGTGCAACCCAACAGCAGAACGCCCGCGATGGTGGGCGGCAGTACGAGACAGGGGCTGTAGTGTGCAATTGCTACATTTGCAATGCACTTTGCGATTCACGAAGCTGCACAGGAACAAGGATTCCCCCTAACTTGTGTAGAGCACCTTTTCGTGAATGATTCCGGAATTGAATTCGTAGATCGGTCATTTGCGCGGGGGGCTATCCTCGACCTTTCAAGGACACCATTGCCTGAATCTTACTTTCCAACTGTTGGTGCCCTGCTTCACAACTCCCGCCATAGTGCCCGCCTCACACTGTGTCTCTTCTTTCTTGTGTTAGGCTTCTCGGCGTTGTCAGGTGGCTGTGCGGGTTGTGCTGGTCTGAGACAAATCATTGGCGAGTCAGGCTCCTCCTACATCATGAGGCAACACACTGCGCTGCATGGTAAACATCGTATTTCAACAACTTCACTTCCTGCTGCATCGCAGGTCGTGCAAGCAGCAGGCGTGCGGGTTTTTACCACCAAGAATGTCCGGACTTGGCATTCCCGATCATAGGCGAGGCAAGCGACAACTTCAATTCTGCACGCAATTGTCTTGGACTGGCTCAGCATCGGATATCCATGACAGACACTTTGCTTTTTGTTCCCTCGCCTTGGCCTGCAGTTCCATCTTGTCCGCTTCGGCACGTGCAACGGCCGTGGAGCGGATCTGCACACAGAGCTGAAATTCCAAAGCCAGGTGTTTTGTCTTTTTACATGAGCTCTCGCTTGCCGCATTCTCCGTCCTCTAGCTCTGCCGCGGCGGCTTGCTTCTGTGCCTCCAAGTCCTCCCAACTTGCGCATGGAATCCCAGAACAACTACCCAACAAAAAACGCTGCATTACCACAACGCAGTGCTGGTTTTCGTCGTCTTTCGTCAGAGAGCAACGGTAGTGATAGCACTGACAGAAGCGACAGCAACAGTAACCACAGTAGCAAAGCCTTACAGTGCGTTGCCTTGCAGTGCCTTGTAGCCTGGAGCTGCCCGGAACTTTGCATTATTGGCCCTAAGTTGCTCACGCCCGGATCTGGGTCGAAATGGTTTTTCGGATAAGATGAGACCGGAAAGGAAGGCCAAAGCTCGTGGGACCACATCCTGGAATTTGATGATTCGTTGGGCTGAATCCTCCAAACTCTCAGTTTTGGTGAACAGCCAAGCCATGCCAAGCCAAGATAACAGGAAGAAAGGCCCTCCAGGGGTTAGCTGCGTTATTGGAAAACTGTTTCCTTAGAACTCCGACATCTGGGAACTACTCCTGCAAAGCCTTCTCCGAACACTGCAACTTGGTCGTGAGCTCGTCGTTTGTCGCCTCCAGCCGCACACTAGGCCACGAGGCGACACTCATGATGGCATTGTGCATGGCGCTGGACAGACTGACAGCAGGCTTCTGCCCCATGTACTGGGAAGCTCGGACTTAAATGCTGCCCATTCTTCTGCTCCAGCAAACCAAAAAACATGTGAAAACTACTTGTGCAGAAGTAAGGAGCAAGTTGCCTGCAGTTTCTCCGCTGCGAGCACAGATTCCCGGAGCTCACTCTCATGACCCTCGACCTGCAGGCCAAACCCAACTTACCGCGGCCATTTCTGTGCTGACTGCTTCCGCTGCCTTCTTTCGGGCAGCGACGAGCTGTGCGGCGGCATCGGCAGTTTCGGCCTTTCGCCAGCCAATTGCATAAAATACTTCGTGGTCACTGTAACCACATCTACATATCTATCCATCTCTCTCTCTCTCTCTCTCTCTCTCTCTCTCTACATTTGTTTCTTTAAGCTGTTTATGTATTTCTACATGTAAAAGGTATACCAGCAGCCGCCTCGAGGGTTTGCGATGCGGCCGTCAGCTTTTGCTGCTGTACTTCTACCTGATCGCGCAGAATTCCGGGATGACAGCGCGCATGGCAGTACACAAGAAGGGCCTGCGTCTGAAGCTCTTCCACCTGGGACTGCAATGCCGCGTTCGCATCCTTGCAAGCACTACATACTCGACATGATGCACCGGGTTTGTATGACATGCCGCTTTGCCTGCAAGGCCTGTGCTGCTGCAACCGTCTCGCTGTACTTCATCTGCACCTGCAGAAGATTGACTACTCAGCAACATCACACCGAACTTGAACAGACAAGGTTGGGCAAACCCTCATTTGCAAGCAATATGCTCGAATGACGGGTTTGGGAAGGGCTTCATCCTGGGTATCGAAGCAGCTTCTCGTTTGATCGCAGAAGGTTCCTGACATCAGGCTTTGCAAGGCCAAAACGAGGCAGGGTTGGAGTGCCGGTTCCACACCCGTTAGCAAACACAATGCGTCAATGACGGTTTGGAAGACAGGCACTGCATCACCGCGTTTTGACGGCCGCAGCTGGGCCTCTGGAAGCACACTTGCGGAAGCCTGAGATGGCAGGAGGACGCCATGTATTCTCCCGAGGCTGAGATGTTGGTGTAAGAGGCATCGGCTTGCCGTGCGGACAAGCTCTGCCGAGAGTTCAGCTGAAAGCTTCGAGTGCCGCTGATATGCCGAAGAGCTACTGCTTCTCCACGAAGAGCTTCAATCAACTCCTTGCTTGCCTCCTGCTAGCTCGAGAACGCTTGGAACGTATGTGCAAACACCACGAGACAAAGACCTGTCCTGCGCCTGCACGGCCTCAAAAAGCTGACCGCGAAGCTCAGCGAACTGAGCACAGACGTTGTGGTTGCCCACAGTGCTTTGCAGATTATGCAGATTCCAAAACAGCTCGGCGATATGAGATCTCCCAAGCATGCCTATACCACTGCAAACGTCCCAACGACGTCTTTAAGCTTAATGCGGGCCTGCTTAGAGTACCTTCGACTGCGGTATTTGTAGCCTGTCTGATTTTGTCTTGGCTGTTTGTTCCTGTAACAACGGACATCAACCCAGCTGTGCAACCCAACAGCAGAACGCCCGCGATGGTGGGCGGCAGTACGAGACAGGGGCTGTAGTGTGCAATTGCTACATTTGCAATGCACTTTGCGATTCACGAAGCTGCACAGGAACAAGGATTCCCCCTAACTTGTGTAGAGCACCTTTTCGTGAATGATTCCGGAATTGAATTCGTAGATCGGTCATTTGCGCGGGGGGCTATCCTCGACCTTTCAAGGACACCATTGCCTGAATCTTACTTTCCAACTGTTGGTGCCCTGCTTCACAACTCCCGCCATAGTGCCCGCCTCACACTGTGTCTCTTCTTTCTTGTGTTAGGCTTCTCGGCGTTGTCAGGTGGCTGTGCGGGTTGTGCTGGTCTGAGACAAATCATTGGCGAGTCAGGCTCCTCCTACATCATGAGGCAACACACTGCGTTGCATGGTAAACATCGTATTTCAACAACTTTCTGCTGACGCAGGTCGTGCGAGCAGCAGGCGTGCGGGTTTTTACCACCAAGAATGTCCGGACTTGGCATTCCCGATCATAGGCGAGGCAAACGACAACTTCAATTCTGCGCGCAATTGTCTTGGACTGGCTCAGCTTCAGACATCCATGACAGACACTTTGCTTTTTGTTCCCTCGCCTTGGCCTGCAGTTCCATCTTGTCCGCTTCGGCACGTGCAACGGCCGTGGAGCGGATCTGCACACAGAGCTGAAATTCCAAAGCCAGGTGTTTTGTCTTTTTACATGAGCTCTCGCTTGCTGCATTCTCAGTCCTCTAGCTCTGCCGCGGCGGCTTGCTTCTGTGCCTCCAAGTCCTCCCAACTTGCGCATGAAATCCCAGAACAACTACCCAACTAGAAGCTGCCCGGAACTTTGCATTATTGGCCCTAAGTTGCTCACGCCCGGATCTGGGTCGAAATGGTTTTTCGGATAAGATGAGTCCGGAAAGGAAGGCCAAAGCCCTGGAATTTTATGATTCTTTGGGCTGAATCCTCCAAACTCTCAGTTTTGGTGAACAGCCAAAACAAGACGATAACAGGAAGAAAGGCCCTCGAGGGGTTAGCTGCGTTATGGGAAAACTGTTTCCTTAGAACTCCAACGACATCTGGGAACTACTCCTGCAAAGCCTGCTCCAAACACTGCAACTTGTTCGTGAGCTCGTCGTTTGTCGCCTCCAGCCGGACACTAGGCCACGAGGCGACACTCATGATGGCATTGTGCATGGCGCTGGACAGACTGACAGCAGGCTTCTGCCCCATGCACTGGGAAGCTCGGACTTAAATGCTGCCCATTCTTCAGCTCCAGCAAACCCAAAAATGTGAAAACTACTTGTGCAGAAGTCTGGAGCAAGTTGCCTGCAGTTTCTCCGCTGCGAGCACAGATTCCCGGAGCTCACTCTCATGACTCTCGACCTGCAGGCCAAACCCAACTTACCGCGGCCATTTCTGTGCTGACTGCTTCCGCTGCCTTCTTTCGGGCAGCGACGAGCTGTGCGGCGGCATCGGCAGTTTCGGCCTTTCGCCAGCCAATTACATAAAATACTTCGTGGTCACTGTAACCACATATATATATATATATAGATATATATATATATATACATATATATATATATATATATATATATCTATCTATCCATCTTTCTTTCTTTCTGCAGGGCGTAGGGGTCGCGCGCGCCCCCCAGGCCATAGGCCCGCCCAGCTCACGCCCTGTGCTATGGAGTGGCTGGCAACGGGGTCTTTCCTGATTATTGCAGGGAACTACGCAGTGTGTTCTTTGTTTCCGTGCAGGCAGCCCACCCAAAATATCTATCCATCTCTCTCTCTCTCTCTCTCTCTCTCTCTCTCTCTACATTTGTTTTTGTAACTGTTTATGTATTTCTACATGTAAAAGGTATACCAGCAGCGGCCTCGAGGGTTTGCGATGCGGCCGTCAGCTTTTGCTGCTGTACTTCTACCTGATCGCGCAGAATTCCGGGATGACAGCGCGCATGGCAGTACACAAGAAGGGCCTGCGTCTGAAGCTCTTCCACCTGGGACTGCAATGCCGCGTTCGCATCCTTGCAAGCACTACATACTCGACATGATGCACCGGGTTTGTATGACATGCCGCTTTGCCTGCAAGGCCTGTGCTGCTGCAACCGTCTCGCTGTACTTCATCTGCACCTGCAGAAGATTGACTACTCAGCAACATCACACCGAACTTGAACCCTCATTTGCAAGCAATATGCTCGAATGACGGGTTTGGGAAGGGCTTCATCCTGGGTATCGAAGCAGCTTCTCGTTTGATCGCAGAAGGTTCCTGACATCAGGCTTTGCAAGGCCAAAACGAGGCAGGGTTGGAGTGCCGGTTCCACACCCGTTAGCAAACACAATGCTTCAATGACGGGTTTGGAAGACAGGCACTGCATCACCGCGTTTTGACGGCCGCAGCTGGGCCTCTGGAAGCACACTTGCGGAAGCCTGAGATGGCAGGAGGACGCCATGTATTCTCCCGAGGCTGAGATGTTGGTGTAAGAGGCATCGGCTTGCCGTGCGGACAAGCTCTGCCGGGAGTTCAGCTGAAAGCTTCGAGTGCCGCTGATATGCCGAAGAGCTACTGCTTCTCCACGAAGAGCTTCAATCAACTCCTTGCTTGCCTCCTGCTAGCTCGAGAACGCTTGGAACGTACGTGCAAATACCACGAGACAAAGACCTGTCCTGCGCCTGCACGGCCGCAAAAAGCTGAGCTTCGCGGTCAGCGAGCTGAGCACAGACGTTGTGGTTGCCCACAGTGCTCTGCAGATTATGCACATTCCAAAACAACTCGGCGATATGAGATCTCCCAAGCATGCCTATACCACTGCGAACGTCCCAACGACGTCTTTAAGCTTAATGCGGGCATGCTTAGATTACCTTCGACTGCGGTATTTGTAGCCTGTCTGATTTTGTCTTGGCTGTTTGTTCCTGCCACAACGGGCATCAACCCAGCTGTGCAACCCAACAGCAGAACGCCCGCGATGGTGTGCGGCAGTACGAGACAGGGGCTGTAGTGTGCAATTGCTACATTTGCAACGTACTTTGCGATTCACGAAGCTGCACAGGAACCAGGATTCACCCTAACTTGTGTAGAGCACCTTTTCGTCGATGATTTCCGGAATTCCTAGATCGGTCATTTGCGCGGCGGGCTATCCTCGACCTTTCAAAGACACCATTGCCTGAATCTTACTTTCCAACTGTTGGTGCCCTGCTTCACAACTCCCGCCATAGTACCCGCATCACCTGTGTCTCTTCTTTCTTGTGTTGGGCTTCTCCGCATTGTCAGGTGGCTGTGCGGGTTGTGCTGGTCTGAGACAAATCATTGGCGAGTCAGGCTCCTCCTACATCATGAGGCAACACACTGTGCTGCATGGCAAACATCGTATTTCAACAACTTCACTTCCTGCTGCATCGCAGGTCGTGCGAGCAGCAGGCGTGCGGGTTTTTACCACCAACAATGTCCGGACTTGGCATTCCCGATCATAGGCGAGGCAAGCGACAACTTCAATTCTGCCCGCAATTGTCTTGGACTGGCTCAGCTTCAGATATCCATGACAGACACTTTGCTTTTTGTTCCCTCGCCTTGGCCTGCAGTTCCATCTTGTCCGCTTCGGCACGTGCAACGGCCGTGGAGCGGATCTGCACACAGAGCTGAAATTCCAAAGCCAGGTGTTTTGTCTTTTCACATGAGCTCTCGCTTGCTGCATTCTCCGTCCTCTAGATCTGCCGCGGCGGCTTGCTTCTGTGCCTCCAAGTCCTCCCAACTTGCGCATGGAATCCCAGAACAACTACCCAACAAAAACCGCTGCATTACCAGAACGCAGTGTTGGTTTTCGCCGTCTTTCGTCAGAGAGCAGCGGTAGTGATAGCACTGACAGAAGCGACAGGAACAGTAACCACAGTAGCGAAGCTGGAGCTGCCCAGAACTTTGCATTATTGGCCCTAAGTTGCTCACGCCCGGATCTGGGTCGAAATGGTTCGTCCGGAAAGGAAGGCCAAAGCTCGTGGGACCACATCCTGGAATCTGATGATTCGTTGGGCTGAATCCTCCAAACTCTCAGTTTTGGTGAACAGCCAAGCCATGCCAAGCCAAGATAACAGGAAGAAAGGCCCTCCAGGGGTTAGCTGCGTTATTGGAAAACTGTTTCCTTAGAACTCCGACGACATCTGGGAACTACTCCTGCAAAGCCTGCTCCGAACACTGCAACTTGGTCGTGAGCTCGTCGTTTGTCGCCTCCAGCCGGACACTAGGCCACGAGGCGACACTCATGATGGCATTGTGCACCGCGCTGGACAGACTGACAGCAGGCTTCTGCCCCATGCACTGGGAAGCTCGGATTTAAATGCTGCCCATTCTTCAGTTCCAGCAAACCCAAAAATGTGAAAACTACTTGTGCAGAAGTCTGGAGCAAGTTGCCTGCAGTTTCTCCGCTGCGAGCACAGATTCCCGGAGCTCACTCTCATGACTCTCGACCTGCAGGCCAAACCCAACTTACCGCGGCCATTTCTGTGCTGACTGCTTCCGCTGCCTTCTTTCGTGCAGCGACGAGCTGTGCGGCGGCATCGGCAGTTTCGGCCTTTCGCCAGCCAATTACATAAAATACTTCGTGGTCACTGTAACCACATATATATATATATATATATATATATATACATATATATATATATATATACATATATATATATCCATCTCTCTCTCTCTACATTTGTTTCTTTAAACTGTTTATGTATTTCTACATGTAAAAGGTATACCAGCAGCCGCCTCGAGGGTTTGCGATGCGGCCGTCAGCTTTTGCTGCTGTACTTCTACCTGATCGCGCAGAATTCCGGGATGACAGCGCGCATGGCAGTACACAAGAAGGGCCTGCGTCTGAAGCTCTTCCACCTGGGACTGCAATGCCGCGTTCGCATCCTTGCAAGCACTACATACTCGACATGATGCACCGGGTTTGTATGACATGCCGCTTTGCCTGCAAGGCCTGTGCTGCTGCAACCGTCTCGCTGTACTTCATCTGCACCTGCAGAAGATTGACTACTCAGCAACATCACACCGAACTTGAACAGACAAGGTTGGGCAAACCCTCATTTGCAAGCAATATGCTCGAATGACGGGTTTGGGAAGGGCTTCATCCTGGGTATCGAAGCAGCTTCTCGTTTGATCGCAGAAGGTTCCTGACATCAGGCTTTGCAAGGCCAAAACGAGGCAGGGTTGGAGTGCCGGTTCCACACCCGTTAGCAAACACAATGCTTCAATGACGGGTTTGGAAGACAGGCACTGCATCACCGCGTTTTGACGGCCGCAGCTGGGCCTCTGGAAGCACACTTGCGGAAGCCTGAGATGGCAGGAGGACGCCATGTATTCTCCCGAGGCTGAGATGTTGGTGTAAGAGGCATCGGCTTGCCGTGCGGACAAGCTCTGCCGAGAGTTCAGCTGAAAGCTTCGAGTGCCGCTGATATGCCGAAGAGCTACTGCTTCTCCACGAAGAGCTTCAATCAACTCCTTGCTTGCCTCCTGCTAGCTCGAGAACGCTTGGAACGTACGTGCAAATACCACGAGACAAAGACCTGTCCTGCGCCTGCACGGCCGCAAAAAGCTGAGCTTCGCGGTCAGCGAGCTGAGCACAGACGTTGTGGTTGCCCACAGTGCTCTGCAGATTATGCAGATTCCAAAACAGCTCGGCGATATGAGATCTCCCAAGCATGCCTATACCACTGCGAACGTCCCAACGACGTCTTTAAGCTTAATGCGGGCATGCTTAGATTACCTTCGACTGCGGTATTTGTAGCCTGTCTGATTTTGTCTTGGCTGTTTGTTCCTGCCACAACGGACATCAACCCAGCTGTGCAACCCAACAGCAGAACGCCCGCGATGGTGTGCGGCAGTACGAGACAGGGGCTGTAGTGTGCAATTGCTACATTTGCAACGTACTTTGCGATTCACGAAGCTGCACAGGAACCAGGATTCACCCTAACTTGTGTAGAGCACCTTTTCGTCGATGATTTCCGGAATTCCTAGATCGGTCATTTGCGCGGCGGGCTATCCTCGACCTTTCAAAGACACCATTGCCTGAATCTTACTTTCCAACTGTTGGTGCCCTGCTTCACAACTCCCGCCATAGTACCCGCATCACCTGTGTCTCTTCTTTCTTGTGTTGGGCTTCTCCGCATTGTCAGGTGGCTGTGCGGGTTGTGCTGGTCTGAGACAAATCATTGGCGAGTCAGGCTCCTCCGGCAACACACTGTGCTGCATGGTAAACATCGTATTTCAACAACTTCACTTCCTGCTGCATCGCAGGTCGTGCGAGCAGCAGGCGTGCGGGTTTTTACCACCAAGAATGTCCGGACTTGGCATTCCCGATCATAGGCGAGGCAAACGACAACTTCAATTCTGCCCGCAATTGTCTTGGACTGGCTCAGCTTCAGATATCCATGACAGACACTTTGCTTTTTGTTCCCTCGCCTTGGCCTGCAGTTCCATCTTGTCCGCTTCGGCACGTGCAACGGCCGTGGAGCGGATCTGCACACAGAGCTGAAATTCCAAAGCCAGGTGTTTTGTCTTTTCACATGAGCTCTCGCTTGCTGCATTCTCCGTCCTCTAGATCTGCCGCGGCGGCTTGCTTCTGTGCCTCCAAGTCCTCCCAACTTGCGCATGGAATCCCAGAACAACTACCCAACAAAAACCGCTGCATTACCAGAACGCAGTGTTGGTTTTCGCCGTCTTTCGTCAGAGAGCAACGGTAGTGATAGCACTGACAGAAGCGACAGGAACAGTAACCACAGTAGCGAAGCTGGAGCTGCCCAGAACTTTGCATTATTGGCCCTAAGTTGCTCACGCCCGGATCTGGGTCGAAATGGTTCTTCGGATAAGATGAGTCCGGAAAGGAAGGCCAAAGCTCGTGGGACCACATCCTGGAATCTGATGATTCGTTGGGCTGTATCCTCCAAACTCTCAGTTTTGGTGAACAGCCAAGCCATGCCAAGCCAAGATAACAGGAAGAAAGGCCCTCTAGGGGTTAGCTGCGTTATTGGAAAACTGTTTCCTTAGAACTCCGACGACATCTGGGAACTACTCCTGCAAAGCCTGCTCCGAACACTGCAACTTGGTCGTGAGCTCGTCGTTTGTCGCCTCCAGTCGGACACTTGGCCACGAGGCGACACTCATGATGGCATTGTGCATGGCGCTGGACAGACTGACAGCAGGCTTCTGCCCCATGCACTGGGAAGCTCGGACTTAAATGCTGCCCATTCTTCAGCTCCAGCAAACCAAAAAATGTGAAAACTACTTGTGCAGAAGTAAGGAGCAAGTTGCCTGCAGTTTCTCCGCTGCGAGCACAGATTCCCGGAGCTCACTCTCATGACTCTCGACCTGCAGGCCATACCCAACTTACCGCGGCCATTTCTGTGCTGACTGCTTCCGCTGCCTTCTTTCGGGCAGCGACGAGCTGTGCGGCGGCATCGGCAGTTTCGGCCTTTCGCCAGCCAAATACATAAAATACTTCGTGGTCACTGTAACCATATATACATATCTATCCATCTCTCTCTCTCTCTCTCTCTCTCTACATTTGTTTCTTTAAACTGTTGATGTATTTCTACATATAAAAGGTAATTATACCAGCAGCCGCCTCGAGGGTTTGCGATACGGCCGTGAGCTTTTGCTGCTTTACTTCTACCTGATCGCGCAGAATTCCGGGATGACAGCGCGCATGGCGGTACACAAGAAGGGCCTGCGTCTGAAGCTCTTCCACCTGGGACTGCAAGGCCGCGATCGCATCCTTGCAAGCACTACATACTCGACATGATGCACCGGGTTTCTATGACATGCCGCTTTGCCTGCAAGGCCTGTGCTGCTGCAACCGTCTCGCTGTACTTCATCTGCACCTGCAGAAGATTGACTAGTCAGCAACATCACACCGAACTTGAACAGACAAGGTTCTCCCAACCGCAGCATGCCTGTTCTTCTGCACAGGCATGCTGCAAGGCCTTCGCCCTGGCGTCCTGTGTGGTATCCGTGACAGGAGACGAGTGGTATGCTGTTCGACGCCCCATCTTTCGGATTGTTTGAGAGAGCTCCGGCTCTCCTGCAAAGCCTCCTCGGAGCACTGCAACTTGGTCGTGAGCTCATCGTTTGTCGCCTCTACACAAAGGCTCCGAAGCAGGCTGCTGATTTCTACAAACACACATCGGACATGTGTCGGTCTCAGCTGTACGATCGCTGCAACAATAGGAAACACCATTGGACATCCAGTTAGACATGGCAAGCGCTACATAACTACGTAAGTCCTCATTCGCACGCGGGATCTGGATTGTCGGGGTAAGAACTGCTTGCAGGGCTTCAGCCCACTAGCAGGAAAGGCTCGAGCCTCTGCATTCTCAAGATCGCGGCGAACTTGGTCTGTCTCCGACTGCTTGATCTTCAGCCTGCGCTGCGATCTGACATTTTTCTGTGAGGGCCTAATTAACTGCGTGCTTCAGATGCCAGATCTGATTGCAGCACGGCCTGGAGCGTAGATACGTCCTGTCCTCGGCAACCCTGCGCAAGGCGAGAAGCACCTGCACGTTTTGAATCGCTGTACAGACGAATTGGCGAACACCTCCCATCGCAGAGGCGCAAACGGAAAGCTGGGTGGTCACTTCTGACTGCGGTCTCATCAGTGTGCCCGGGTATGGCGCTGTCTGTTGCCATACCCGCCATAATCATAACCGTCGTCCTGATTTATTCGGCTAGTTGAGTTGGTCCAGTCCTTTCACATATCCGGCCATTGAAAGTTGAAAGTGCGATTATCCTAGCGTAGGCTTCTCAGCATGACACGCCGGATTCTGTAAGTGTCTCATGCTTTGTTATGATGTTGATGATGTTTCCGCTTCCAACAAAATGATGCACATGTTGACCTCAGGAAAAGATATACTTCGAGGGTCTGCCAGATCGTAAAAATACTCCATACGGCATAGGTTGTTCTCTAACTCCTGTAGATGTTACAACGTTGGCAAAAATCTTGGTGCTCACCTTGGGGTCGCACTGCCAAAACTTCCACGTTTTCAACAGTAACTCGTGTCGCCCTGGCGCGGTTGTGTCCAGGCCTGGGCGCCAGAACTATCCTTCAACTCACAAACATGCAAGAGGCTTTGCCCGTTATCCGAAGTTCTTGTCGTGCAGGGGTGAATCGCGTTGAGTGCATGCTTCAGTGGATCCTTGTGGCTTCGTTTAGTTTCTATGGCCTTATGGCAGACCTTCCGATTCATCTGTGCCAGAGGTGCAAACAGCAGCTGGTAGAGCACTTTCTTCGTTCTCCTAGCTGTTAACAGATTTGCTGGGCATTAGGAGATCCCGTGCATGACCTTCTCCATGTCTACTGACTGCAAACGTCTGTCGCTTTGACCACTTGTCACGACAGCAGCTCTCTGTTGCTGCGCTATCGTCATGCTTTCATCTTGCAGGTTCGAAAACCTCCGAGTCTGGCTGCTGTCCTACATGCTGATTGAGCTGCGTCGGCAGATTGCAGACTTGCCTCCTCCTGGACATCCAAGACGGTATTCACGTTGGCCATCTCATCTTCCAAAAGACCCTGGCGCGCGAGCAGTTTCCCCGGTCATAGAGTCGAATGAGCACCGTCTCCTGCGTATCGGCGACATGCTCGCGGAAGATAGCCACCACCGCTTCCTCAGGTCCAGGGCAGCAGTCTCGAGTCTAGACTCTAGACAGTTCCATGAGGTTGAGGCTGAGGCTGCAGAGGATGAGGATGCAGTGGTCTCTGACACGTCGTCTCTTCGAGTTTCGACCTCAGTCACAGCTTTGAGCACGGAGAGGGGTGCTTCGCAGAAGGCTCAGCTCGTTCAGATGCCGACGTCCTCTTTCGATGCAGGGACCCCTCAACACAGCAAGAAGATTCGGCAACGTCTGCGCAGTCTGTTCTGGCTCGTCTAGCGGCCCTGCAAGCCGCCTGTGGAGAGGGCCTCTTTGCCGATTGTAGCGTTCAGAACCTCGGCCACATGTGCGTATCGACGCCAGGAAATCTCTATGCGAAGCAGCCTCTCTGCGCCACAAGCTGGACAAGCCAACTACTGTAGTTTGAGCCCTCTCCAACCCTGGTGCAGCGACACGGCGAATCGCTGCAGTGTAGTCCAACTTCAGACTCTGGAGACTTTGGAACTTGAGCCCTTGTTGGAGCATCCCGCGATTCGGAAAACGACGCCATGCCACACACGCACTCCGAGACTCCAGACACCTTCAACCTTTACTCGTCGGAGCTCTTCAGCCAGTGCATGTGACCTGCTGGGCAGAGATGGGCACCCGCTGATCTATGGTTCTTATGCTGCCAGCAAGTGGAGAGGTTCTCAATCATTTCGTTGTCCTATCAGATGCAGGAGATAGGTTTTCGGCATTTTGTCTAAACCTTCCGCTCAGCAGAGGCCAGCGCATAACACACTAAAGAAGAGCGGAGCCACTGGCACTTTTTTCGTGTGTTCGGAGTGTCGGTACACACGAGCTGCTTTCTTCTTCCATGATGTCAAGAACGAATGAAGGCACAGGCTTCTAGCCGACTTGATGATATGAGAGCTCCAGGAAATCCTGAGTATCGCCGAGCGTGTCTTTAATCCTCGGCTTCTTTTGTCGCTGCGCGACGCTACTGTAATTTCCTGTGAGAGCAGCTTGAGCGCCAATCTTGCCGGATGTCGCAATGAAGGAGTCTTGCGGGACGTAATGAAAGAGCTGCGGTTTCCGAGAAAAAGAGGCCTTTGGCTGTCGTGACACTTGGATTGCAATGCCCGTTATGCTGAGCAAAGTTACCTCAGCACGGGTCAACTTTGGGAAGGGGGCCCCGAAATGTGCGACGAACGAGGCAAGCTCGACAACTTCCTGTCGAAGCGCAAGGCACACACAGACGATGATCGTACGACGTCTTTCAATGACTCTACTGGAGGAGGGGCTGGCAGACGAAAGCTAGAAGGACGGAAGGGGTAGCATTGAGACTCCTGCAAGTTCCATAGATTCCAGGCACTACCCTTCTCAGGGATCCTCACGGCCGTCCTTCTTCTGTGTGTCGAAAGCTGAAGGAGAAAGCCTAGAGATCCCGTAGTGCACGAGTGCTGACCTGGTCATCCCACATTGACCTCTAAGAGAACGACCTCTTGACAGAAGGCGAAAAAATCGAGACAGTGACGAGCACCATCGGGGAGTCGATGGTGACTCATGATTGATCATGGACTAAGTTTGGACACCAACAGTCGTGCTTTGGCACCTCTGCTGCTCCTTCATCACCGCCTGGTGCTGTGTCTCGACGACATTTTGCATCGTCCTTGGCAGCAAAGGCTGTGAGAAGCGGCAACAGGACCATAGTCAAACCAAGTCAAACGTGCCAAGTTGGATCGACAAGCGCTTGCCGCAATGTAGGACAAGGCAGCAACTCTGATCTCGTGTTGCAAAGATTCGACGGCGCAGGCATGCAGCAGTGAGTCAAATTCCACTGGAAAGTGCACAGATAAGCACATGAGCCGCGGGCCGCAGGTCGCGTGTTTCCTTGCACAGCGCTCGCTGCACGTCTCCCAGCTCCTTCGCCCAAGCAAGCAAAGAAAGGCAGTAGGACGAGCCGTGGAACAGAGCCTTCTTGACAGAAATTATCTCGCCGTTTACTTTCTCCAGCTCCTCTCTGTAGCCCTGCGGCTGAGGCAGAGGTTGACTACATGGCTCGTGAGCAAACCGGCCTCGGCTTCTAGGCGGGCTTCGACCGATGTTTGTTTCGCGGACTTTGCCTGAATCTAGCACTCGCACTCAGCGTCAAAAATGCACTGCACACAATGCGCCTCCTCTTCCGCCTCCTCCACTGCCTTCGTGTTGCTTTCATTGCATTCTTCCGGTGACAAGCACTTGCAGGAATCAATAGGGTCTAGAGCTGTGCGGGTGGTGCTCTCCAGTCTGTATGGAGTTTCGAAGTCTGTTCGGCCAGCAGCCGGGAGTTTTGCGAGCGAGACTATCCGAAACTTGACATGGGGCGTCATTCGAGCGCGAGCTCAGACGTCAGCTCGATGGCCCGATGGAAACCAGCCAGAGAGCTCTTGAGTGCCGAATCTGTCTTGACCCTGTGCCGACTCGCCATGCTCGCAGCTGGGTTGCCTACCCACTGCTCCGAACTAGCACTTGCTGAGCACCGAGAAGCGAGCTCGGCGAAGCTTGCTGGTCTCCACCTCAGGGCATCCGGTTTCAACAGTTCTGACAGTGCCGTTTTTCGACAGCGGCATTTTCCCTGCCTCCACGTTCTCCTTGTCTTCCAATGGCGTGTACGGCGATCCAGGCCTGCAAAGACTCACGCTGCGGTTCAAAGCGCCTTGAAAGTAGTTCGGAAATAACAGACAGGGGTTGGGTAGCAAGCACATATCGACATATTAATCTTCGGACCAATGAACATGGACATAGCCAATCCGATCTTCGGTTTATGTCAAGGTGGCTGTGTTCGGCTTTCCGGTGCTGTGGCACTCTTGGGGCCCCAGCGCACTCCGAGGCTTTGACCTTTCTGCCATGCGATGCAGCACACTCATTCGACAAACTCGCTTGGCCTCCAGTCACCCCTTCCAAGCCCTGACCTTTGGTGTTTACTTCCCAAAAGTTGCAGCAACAAGGCATGTGCGCAAATGGCCGGAACCTGCATCAACCACAAATTTGGAGGGTGCGGGTGAAGCTCCACACTCTCGCAACAGCGGACTTGCGCGTAGGCTTGACGGGGCGCCCTGATGACTGAGAATAGACCTGTCTGTGTGTGTGTGTGTGTTGCATCCCTGAAACTAAGGGCTAGAGTCGTTGTTGCATGTATTACAATCAGAAGGGGGCATGGCGCTTGTGCTCTTAGCCATTCCAACGAAGCTATAGAGCACAGGTGGAAGGGAATGTCGACGTGCATTCCTGTACCTGCAGAGTTGCACCTGGATCCATTGATTGGATAGCTGGCGGACTCATGCCTAGAGTGATTGCAACAGTCATGTACATCTCGTTGAGCCTTGAGTTCCACAGACGAAATGCAGCATCTAGACAGTAAGACGAAGAAGAAGGCGAAGAGACGAAGGGTCCGACTGCCATTCGGATCATGAGATCCATGCAAAAGTGTGTGTGTGTGTGTGTGGACCTTGTCTGTCACACGTCTTCGTCGCAAGTTCAGAATGAACTTCACTCTCTTTCCGGAGGCAGCAATTGAAAGGCATGGCTTCTGTTCTCACTGTCTGAATACCATGGCTGCAGAAGCCCACAGCTTGTTCGGACATCTAAAGAGAAGTGTCTCAGCTTCTTGCCCTGTCAGGCCACCCAGGATTGATGCCACAGAAACCTCCTCCAGACGGCAAGCTCATGGACATTCTCGAGTCTCCAGACTACACCAACAGGCTTGCAAGGGTCAAAGAGTACTTTGAATGGTACTTTGTCAAGTCGACACCTCAGCCGCAGCCCTCAGCCTCAAACTGCCATGGATCAAACGAGACCGGACTTCGGTCCGAGAGCGCTTCGGCATCGAAGACGTTTTGCGCCAGCGACTCGAAGTCTGCCAGCCTGTTTTCGACGGCTAAAACACCGGTGTCTGACGTGGCCGCTCGACTTCCGCAATGTGCACTTCAAGGCGATGCTGGAAGCCTCATGAACAGCTGCTCCACTTCCTGCAGGAGGGGTGGAGTGGTAGCCAGGAGATCTCAAGTCAGAAGAGTCGTCATATTCTCAAGATGTCTCAAAGTTGCAGTGTACTCTGCACACCAAGCCTCTGGAGGCACAGCTTGCTGCCTGCTTTCCTGGATCGGACTCAGAGCACTTGCATTTTGGCTGGATCTTCTGCGTTGCGAAATCGTTTGACAAAGAACAGCTATTTCCATGCTCCGAACCAGCTGAGACATGCTGTGCCGCATGCATCGTGGCCTTGACACTTTCTTCAGCTTCCGTCAATCTTTGTGTGGCCAGGGAGAGCTGCTTCTTCAGATTCATGATTTCCTTGTGCAGACGCTCGCGACATCCTAAAGGTCCAATGCCCTGCATCCGCCTGCTGCGAGCTCGCCAGATCGGCGGTCTGGCGAACGGGCTGTTGGAAAGATTCCCGACAATTTCAGGTCAAGACTAAGAGGTTTTGGATTAGGGATTTTCAGGCGACTGGCCTGGAAAGGGTTTTGCAAAATTTACTTGCATCCAAAATCGAGCCTAGGGGCTTTTTGCCCTGAGTCGTTCGCTTCCATCAGCTGGGTCTAGATGTTCAGACATTCAGCACGGGCACGTAGCCTGCACATGGTGTCTTTTTCAGTGACCGGGGCAAGTTGGTTGAACGTCGTTCGATTGCTGTTGTGCCGTGGCTGCGTGTGCAGCCCTGGCAACTTTTGAAAGGACTTTGTTAAGCCACAGGTGGGTGTTAGAATCGTTGATCGAAGGTGAGTCGGCTTCAGCTTGCTTGGTCGGTGGCCATCCGCGCAAAAAGCCCTGTGGCCATGTGTTCCTGTTTCTCGAGTGCATCCAACGGATTGACTCCCTGTGTGTTGAAGGTCGTTGGCAATACGATCTGTGCGTCGGTGAGGCCAGTCTGGATCGCTCGACTGGGAGATACACTACACCTCTTTCAAGGAGTTGGCCATGACGTCCCGTGACAGTGCGGTCATCGAATGTTCCACAAGCTGGGCTTTCGATTACGGCCAGAATGCGATGGCTCTCGCTCAAACTGGCCTTGGCAAATTGGCAAATTCCTGCTTAGTATGAAAGCGGATGCGAGGGCTGCGTGGCATTGCAGATACGGTAGGCAGAAACTACATCTGCACCCTGGCCCCAATGAGGGAGCCTTCTTCTTCTCTCGATCTTCAAGGTTCTTGACCTTCCGGCATGCTACCATGTCAATAAACTTGAAGAGCTCCCGGCTCGGGGCACAGGCACTGCTTAGCGCGTTCTGCATTGGTTAGGATTTCCGACACTCCGCTGCTCATGCAACTGAATTACAGTCCGCAAAGCCAACGATATTCCTGCCTGACCCTGATGCTTCATGACCAGGTTCACGACGTCCTTGCCAACTTCTATTGCAGGGGTAGCACTTTGACTCACCTGACTGCTGCCCATCCATCCGCCCCACCAAAATCGAGTCAATCATGGCCTGTGACCGATGCCGCGTCCGTGGTGCACGTTTTACGCAAACGACGTGTCAGAAGACAGGAGATGATTGCTGCCCTTGACAATTCCCATTCCCTTAATGATCCTTCTGGTGTAGGACTCAGCGTTCTCAATTAGCCTCTCGATGCTACCTGGCTTTCCCCGTATGTTACATGGCCAACACCGTTCTGATGCAGAATCCCATTTTCGGGATGTTAGGTGCAGCCCTGGGAGGGTCTTGGTTGTGCCCCTTCTTCTGATTTCATGGTCTCAGTGTCCACACAGATGGCACTTTCCTCCCTGCTTTGGTGCCATGGAAGGAGCAGCTTCAGAAGCCTCTGTATTCCCAGGCCTGCAATTCTCTCTTTCTTTCGCCAGGGCTATGGGCAAGAAGTTGACCCCCTTGCCATTTTCTCTCTCTCTCTCTCTCTCTCTCTCGCTTTTTTTTTTCTGCAGGGCGTAAAGGGGTCGCGCGCGCCCCCCAGGCCTAGGCCCGCCCAGCTCACCCCCTGTATTATGGAGTGGCTGGTCTTTGGGGTAGTCCAGACTATGGCATTGTACAACCCAGTGTGCTCTGGGCATACAAGTAGAAAGCCCCCCCGAACACTAAACACAGAAACAACCCCCGCCTCGTCCCCGCGCCCCTGTGGCTTACAGTCCTTAGCCTAGTCAGGTTCGGGAAGGCATGAAAAAAGCCGGCCGAATTCCCCTCCTGCCAGAAGCGGTCGGGGTGACGAATTGTTGTAGAAGGCGGATCGGACATCGTCAAAAAGACGGTTTGCAATGAATTGGCAGAGAGGCGGAGCGAGCTGCCAAATCGTGACAGCATTGTTCAAAGGCTTCTGGAAGGGATATGGTACAGAAAAGCGTTCCCATTTGCTTTCCCCCAGCAAGGCTCAATCCCCCGAGTTGCGGTAAGGACTGCGCTAAAGAACATATATGGTACAGGGCACATGCATCCCTCCGGCAAGGGTCAACTATGGAGAAATCCCCATGAAATGGGCCAAGGAAGGAAAGAGGAGCTCAACACAAGGCACTTCACCCCTCTCTCCCCCTCGCACTCAAACTCGGAAAACTTTTTCTTGCGCTCACTTTACTCACTGCGGCTCCTCGGCGTTACTTCCCCCAACTCTTCGTCGGGCCATGTACTCCTGTACCTCCCTCACTTGCCAGCCTATGCTCGGCACCAGGTTCGTTGTCGGTCTCCCCCTGGTACCACGTTGTGCTGCAGCACTTGGGTCTGTAGACTGGTGCGGCCTTTTGCTCCGCGGTTCCCCCGTCAGCGCTCTGGGCTCTCCTTCTGGTTCTGCGAGTCTCCTGCGGTCAACTGTGTGCCTTCTTGGAGGTTCCCCCAGTGGCTCCGCTGGCTTCGTCGGGTTGGCTTCTCGGTCCGAAGGTCTACCTTCTGCTCCCCACGGCCATTGTGAGTCAGCGTCCTGGTAGCCGTGGTAGTCCTCCTCGTTATGTTCCCCCGGGGTTGCACCTTGGTCGTCGTCGTCTGCGCGCCGTGGCGCCTCCCCGTCTTCATCTGCTTGGCTGGTTTCGCTTCCCCAGTCTGGTGGTGTATCTGAGGTACTGTCTTCCGTTTTCACACTGGTCGTTGCCGCCCCCCTTGAGCTGCTGGCTGTTTCTGTCGGCTTGGCTGTGGTCGGCACGGTCTCCTCGTCTGGCACGCGTTGTGGGTTCCCCTTCGTGGCTTGGTGCTGTGCTGCTCTCGTCCCCCGCTGTGCTTGCTTCTTCTTCTTCTTCACCTTGCGGGCATCCTTCAGGAGTTTTGGGATGCGGTGAGGGAAACGCATTATGAAGGCACGCGTCTCGTTGGTGATGCGGGGCATGAACTCGTCCGTGATTTTCACCAACTTGTCTGCTGCTGCTCCTAGGGCTCGGCGTTGAGAAAGTCTCCCCCTATAGCCAGCATAGGCCTCCCGGTCGCTCTCCCCCAGCGGCTCCCCCTTCTCGTCGTAGAACTCCCCGGTCTCATCGTTGTGCTGTACGTTGCGCCCGATCCATACATCGAGCGGGCTTGGGTGGAAGAGAAGGTGAAGTCCCTCACGTGTTTGGTGCTGCACCATGCGGTCAAGGCTCGGCGCACGTCTGGAAGAGGAGCTGGCTTCCCCCCCATCCTCGCCTTGTTGTGCTCGTGGCTTTGCTTTTGGGCTGGCCACGGAAACATTGGCCAAGCTTGTAACTCCGTGCAGCCGACACGCCGGATCGCTTCTCACATGCACCTTCCGCATGCCGGGTTTGCATATCCCCCCAGCTTCCCTGCATAGTCGACATTGCATCTTCCCAGGAAGTTTGCCTTGGGTTCCGTGAGGATGTAGTATGCCGGTCCCCCCCTACTGACGGGCCACCCCCCGAAGGAGGGCCGTGGTCAAGGGGTCCCGTGAGCGAAAAACCCTTAGGGCCACTTAAGCAAAATGAGCAGCGGCGTGTGACTCAAGCGCCGCAGGGGAAAGCAGCACGGCTCTCCTAAGGCTTACAACCTTAGGCCAACCGCGTGCCTCCCCCCCCCGTACCAAGGAGGGTTTACAGCCCCCCAAGGCAAAGGTGCTTGAGCCAAAATGGCTACTCTCTCTCTCTCTCTCTCGCGCTTTCTGTGCCACACCTCGCAGAGGGGAAAAACAATTGAGAACAAATCATTAGCAGTACAGGATACCTAAGCGTGATACTTACCGTCGCAGGTGTGTTGACTGGGAGTCAGGTCCTCCACCCTCTCATATACTTCCTTGGCTTCTTGCAGACCTGAGCTTAAGCACCAGAGCATGCAGCGTTTCACCCGTGGATGAGCCGTTACGGCAGCGGGTCCTGCTAGTGCACACACGCTCGCCATGCTTGCCTAACCGGTGCTACGTGTCAATGTTACGTTGTGTCGACACAGAAGTTGCGACGCCTGAGACCTCTTCCATCAATTGAGATTCTTTTTCCCTGCCGTATCGCCCGCGAGTTTCAGAGCTGCGATGCCTTGCGCTTCGCGAAGACATCGCTGCGACTGTGTTCATAGAAGACTGATCCATTTTTGGACACTACAGTGAAGGCGTCACATCCGAAGCTGGGCTTCCATGCACTTCCGACCCGCCTGGCACTGCATCCAGTCATTCATGATTCGACAGTGCGACATGCGCGTCCTCACATTTTGCTGCACAGCCTGGGGGCCGATAAACTTTAAATGCAATGCATGTGTGGAGAGTTGTGCAGTTCAGCCGGGCCTAATGGTTAGCAGTTAGCAGACTTGCAACATTGATGCTACACATGAATGCTACTTACAGTACGAAGTCGGCACGTGCTCTGCGTGGAGCATCTACGTTCAGGCCTTTGACGCTTGCGCGCATGGCCTTTTTCACATGTTGCGGTTTTGCTGCAGCATGCTGCAGCAGCGGTCTCATGTCCTGCACAGGCAGGTGCATTTGCTCTGTGAAACTGCTGAGAGGACAAAACGGCCGATTGCGGAAAGGGTGTCAGCTCACTGGGAAGACCGTCTGTGGAAGTAAGCAGCTGAGCGCTTTGAACAGCACCAAATAATCACCTCTCCCCCACATCTAGACTAGATACTTTTGGCCAACACCCTGCTTTTGCGGACTAGGCTGGCATATGGCGGCCGCACTGCCGCTGTGCGGCTGTGCCAAACCAAAACCACTGACGACTGCGAATCTCGCCCTCCTCGATCGATCTTGGTCGCCTGATGGACGGGCGACTCGAAAAGCGACCCTAGTAACCCTAGTACCTTGCACCAGCACTCAGAGCTCACTGCCCTGGCTGGCACGGGCGCCGGAAACGAATCCCAGTTTCGTGACTGCAAGCTTGTTGAGGCTCGGTGCCGACATATCTGCGTCTTTCAACAGCTCGCGATGACCCTTGGACACCCAGAAAACTTGGGGAGCTGGCACATCGTCCTCACCAATCCTGAGGGAACTAGCGCAGAATGCGACTGCATCCTCGTTGCAGTCGCAACAGACACCGCCCACCTTCGCCAAAGCATCCATGCCAAACGGGCCTTTTTTCGGCAAGTCCACTGCAAAGTCGTACTTCTCCGCCAAGGACTCCAATCTCTCACGCTTTTTCTTCGGTTTTTTGAGCGACTTGCTCATATCGGGTGGATCATTGCCCAAGTCGACAGCGAGCCTGTGCAGCATCTCCTTGAGATCCGTGCTTGTGCTGCTCTTGGAGTTATAGAAAAGGACGAGCCAATCGTTCTTTGCCTTGTCATCTGGAAAATGCTCCTCACAAAGCGGTACCACTGCGTCCTTCACTCGACTTTTGAAAAGTCCTACGGGACACTTGGCGCTACCACCTTTTGTACCTCGATTCTTCGCGATCCCTTCGATCCACGCCTTCATCGGTTCTGTTTCCCTGGCTCCATTGTATGACTTACCCTTGCCACTTACTATTGCCTTCAGAGCAGGGAAGCCGCTGACCCCGTACTTTGAGCAGGTGGCCCGATCAATGTCGCAGTCCACGGCACCGATGCCAATGGATTTGTCGTTCTTCAAAAGCTTTCCGAGCTCTTTATACTTTGGCTCCAAAGCCCGACAATGCCCACACCAGGAGGTGTAGAAAACGACCATCCAAACACGAGTTGACTTCGCATCAGGCCAATGCTCAGAGCACAGGTTCACAACCGGGTTGGCGTAGCTCCCTTTGCATTTCTTGGAGCCACCTGTAGACTCAGAGCTAGCTGACAATGCAAGCGAGGCAAACACTAGCAGCCACCTCATCTACTTCAGCACGCTGTGAACTGTGAACAAATGCCCGACAACGGTGCTACGCTGTGATTCTTCTTGAGCCGCAAACAGGCACATAAGGACCAGGCTGCAAGGCAGGCTGAGAGTCATTGATCAGAAAATTCACATCACGCTGAAGCAGCATGACAATGCCAAACACTGTCACGGCAAAACGAGAGGGCAGTCAATATGAAGCTATCCACCCACGAATCGAGCGTTTCCTGAATTCTGAATGTGTCGGAAAAGGATCAGGCAAAGTCTGGCACAGAAGTGCAAGAGGATCAGAGTTCACTACCCAACACACTACAAGCGAGTCGAAGGCCTTCTGAAAGCCGCTCACAGCAACGGCTTCGCTCGACTCTACTTCGCTGTTGGCGATTCGAGTCTTACATCATCGGGTCGCAACTACCGCTTCGTCAGAACCATGTGGCAGCGGTGTCCGGGCCATCAGAAACGCAACAAACCCATGGCAGCTCAGTGCTTCCAAGCCCGACAGCGGCAGAACTCTGAGGGGCTGGCTCATCCCAAACTTGGGATCTCCTGCTTCGAGGCCTGCCCTGATCACTCCCAGACTTCCTCAACCAGAGATCAACAGAGAGACTTAAGGGACAACTTTGCACCTGAAAATTCTTCTAGGAACTTCTCATCCGGTAAGGCCCGCACGAGAAAATTCCTTCCATTCAGCAGGAGATGGAAGACGCCGCAACTTCCTGGACATTCCGAAAATTCGACCCCTAAACTCGGCTTGCGGCCTGCATTAAGACCTAAGCTTCCAGATTTCTGTCCGAGCTGCTTGAAATTAGTCTGCGAGCTCTGCAGGCTCGACTCAGCTTCTTCCGTCTCCAGGATGGGTTCCATTGCCGATGCAGACAGACCGGTCGCCCGTTCGCAACTACACACACATGAGGGCAAAGCGATGGCATGGGCAACTCATGAACTCGATTCGGGAGGTTTGAACTTCATTTGCGATGCCGTGGCTCTCGCCGAGCATCTGTCCGTGTATCACTGTTTCTGACAAGCTAGTGAGTGATGAGGTGCACTTCAGCTGTTCTAGCCAACTGCCCACAAGTCTCTGACCGTCAAGGTTCCGAGCTCTTGAGAGCCAAATCAGCTGGAAGCAGTTGCGCAGTCTTTCACGCAATATCAGGTTCGAGAGACAGTGACCAAGCAAATCTTGAAGACAACGCCTATGCTGCATCTTACGTCGTCTCTCCCACAATGCTACTCCTGGCAGCATGTTATTTGCTGCCGGTTGCTTGTCGACATATAACTGGGTGGTACGTGTACGAGTACGAATCACAAAGCCTTCAGCCTGATAGTAACGCTTTGGCAGCAGAAATGGAACTCCTCGCCAGGATCGAAGCGTGGTACAACCTCGTCCATGCAGCACATGTTGTTCCCAAGCCTGATTGCCGCGCTTGCGGACGACATACCGTCAGAATTTCCAAGCCACCCACGGCCATAAGCATGACAGTTGACGTCAGCAGGTGTCCAAGATCCTGCAGTAGTTGCAAAACACATGTTGGCGGGGTATGTCACGGCAGGCATCCTGCCTGAGCCACTTTTTGAACGTAGTAGGGGCCAGCGCTGCTCTTGTACCTGCTCAGCCAGATATGTGCAACATTTTGCAAGTCGCTCTGCATTCGCAAAGCCCTCTGGCGGCATGACTTGCATTCTCGAGCAGTGGGAGCACGTCTTTTCTGCCAAAATGCCGCCGATGACGTTCATGCAAACCCATCCAAAGAGCTGCGATAGCCTTGACAACAGAAGACTAGTGCCTCTGAAGCGAGCGGCTAGCAAGAGAGGCGCCCTTGGAGCCGCACCCGGTCCATTTCCAAGCTTTGCCGCGCTGACTCCTCGACACTCACAGATTCGGAAGTTGCTACCTTTCTATACGAGTATCGAGTATCTGAGTCTGAGTCCTTCCCTGGCCCTTCTGCTGGACAAACAGCCTCACAAAGGGGGATTCCGAAGCCGGGAGCAGGCCGGGAGCTGAGGATCCGCCGAGTCTGTGGCACGCAGAAGACCGTCACGGAAGCGATGGAGGTCCATTGCCTGGAGCTGTACCTGAAGCCGGTGTCTGGCTGGTCGCTTCGAGCACGGCTCAAGCCAAACAACTGCATGCAAGGTCACGTTCGAGAAAGAATAAAGGTTGAGGCCAAAGCGACAAGTGCAAGCCTCAGCTCCATGTAAGGACAGAGGGGTCGTTCAACGGACACGCTGCCGAAACCAAGCTCACAGACCGCAACTGACCAACAATCTTGATTGTTCCGGCCTCCATGCAGCAGGCTGATTTATCACACAATTTGGTTCGCCTTTGATAGGAGGCAGCATCAGCTTTAGTGAAGGATCTTCACACATTGATGCTCCCCTGCTTATCTCTGCCTGAAAATGGTTCACCGCCATCATCTTCAGCGACAAGCCCACTGCGAAGAAGACGGCAATGGGGAAAAACTGCAGCCAGGTTTGGATATCCGAAGCAACGTCATCAGCTTGCAACTGCTTTGACTGGACATGTGCCATGTTACGCTGGTCTGTAGCTCACATGCAGTCCAACGAGATTCAGAGCTCGGTGTTCTGAATGCAAGCTAAGCTCGGCACCCGCAGGAAAAGCGGCCAGAAGGACGAGTAGAGCTCGTGCACCCCACCGAGAATTAATGTAAATGTCAGACCTGCATCTTGGTGGCATCCAAGTGCCGAGGGCACGGCACTGCATCCTTGCCTGTGATGACGGATAATCCAGACTCCACAACCAATGCGGTCTGTCGCACGTACCTCAACACTGCCAGCGAGAGCTGGCCATCCCAAATACATGAAGGCAAACTTACAACCGAATGTGCGATTGGTATCGGTGCAGACTCGACAAACCAGAAAAACCCAATGCAGCTGCAGGGTGATACCAAAACAGCGCGGCAAGTTGTGAACCTTTGAATGGCCAGGCAATCAGATCAGCAGGTGTACTCGTGGAAGTGGCGTTTGAAATGGTCATGATTGTTTTGCACATAGGGACAAACAGGCGTTGATGTGCGTCGGTAGGAAGGCGCATGTCCCAGTGTGACTCTGTGGCCTCGCCACATGGGCATAGTGATTCGGTTCTTGGTCAAGCTTGCTGTTCAGCTGGCTGTACCTCTCCGAGGCCTGTGGAAGCAAAAATGGAAACCTGTGCAGACTGCGCAGATCTAGGGTGACTTGAGAGCAACAACTTTTGCTGTGACGGGCCGTTGGGAATGCGCAGGTGATGCTCACTGTCAACTTGCAGGGTTCAGACTACACAGCCAACTGGCACCTTGCTCCACTGACATCGCGAGACAATGTGACTGCGTTCGAGCCCGCAGAAAGTAGTGTCGGCAACGGGTTTCCGGTAGCATTGCCCCTGCAAGTCGCTTGGTGATGTCATGACATTATATCGACAATGGCAGTGCAGTCTCGAAGCTCTTCGATTTCCCTGTTCTCCCCTCCAAGCAAACAAGGTTTTACAAATCACGTTGATCCTGTGATGTCCCACCATGCCTGTCTGGCTCGTGATCAGATGACGCAGCGAGGTTTGTTTGTTTCAGGCGTAGTAGGACGCAAGGATACAGCTAATCGACTGCAGAATACTTCAAATGCAGGGTACTGCATAGCACTTGTCGGTGATCCTGAAAATGCTCAGAAGAATCCAAAAGCCAAGCCGAGCCACTGTGCGCCGTTGCGGTCCTCCTTCCATGATCGTTTCTCCGCCCAGTCCATCACCAGGGCCTCATATCACAAGATTACTGATCGGACTCTGGACTCTGATGCAACACGAGTGACCGAGCTTAGGTTCCCATGCCTAGATGAGTTTGCTCAGACACTGCAGGGAGAGCAGAACAGGGCCATGTAAACCCCTTCGTCATGCGTCAAGCACAGTGGCGAGGCTCGGACCACACTGCAAGCATGAGACAATTCAGTATCAACGAGCATGAAGCAAAGGCTTCGGAGAACGGAACCTTGTCCGCGGCTTTTCCACACCAAATCGGAGGAAAGGCCGAAAGGCTTGACGCTGGCTTGACGGAAATGAGTTAGCACCGAAAAGCCCGGCCAAGGTTTCGTGGCCTGGAGGCCTCTGCTGAGAACCACTGACAAACATGCCCGGCAAGCGAGGTGCCCATGTATTTTCGCGTCTTGAGAAAAGCTGCGCAGCTTGATAATGGCACCACTTTTTGTATGATTTGTCCGAGTGAACATGTTTCAGCTTGCGCTTCTGTTGTATGTCGGAGGAGGTCTGCGATCGTGCGAGGAAAAACTGCACGGCCCCGCACTCCAAGAGTGATGTCCGACGACCAGAAACCCAGAAGCTCGCAACCATTTCACCTGCTGTACCAGACCCGGAAAGTTTGCCGGGCTCCTCCCACTGAAACTGCTGGCCACATGTGAAAGTATAATCGTGACGGCGAAGAGCCACGCATGAACCATGTTCAACATCAAACGAGTCGCGCAAATGATTACAATGCTACAAGAAGCACTGGCTGTGACCTGTCCAGTGTCGACGAGGATGAACCCCACGAGCAGGAGGGTTCGGAGGCAGAAGCGCGAGCCTGGCAGATTTTCGACTCTAGACTGTGAAAAACTGTGACCTCTTCTGGCCTGGCAGGGCTCCCGCAGGCGAGCCCACGATGCCCACGGTGCGGATGGTGACTGCTTTGTTCCCTGGTACAGCAGTTAAACCTCTTGTAGCACTGAGCCTGCTTGCTGGGACAAATGACTATTTCTGCGCCCATACAAGAGCTTTGACCGTTCCTCCTGGAGCAGGATTTGCTGCTCCTTGGAAGCCTTTCGCTCGCCACATCCCTGTACAGGTTCGGAACCCCTTCACCAGAGGTACAAGGCGATCTCCGATAGCCGCATGATCAGTCAGACTCTGGAATGACGGGATTGCCGTCACCTGCGCAGCATGCTTGGCAAGAGTTCACCCCATCAAACTAGTGTCGCCCTGCAGTGCCCTGCAGACCTGAACTCAAAACGGTAGCTGATGCTTGCACGGGGGAAGACTGAACAGCGCCGTCCGGCAGTCCGGGGGGGAAGCGGCGCACCGTCAGCTTGCACTCCGAAGTCGGAGAGGCCTAGGCCGGCAAGAGCCAAGGTCTCCGAGAAGCGTAAAGGTGATACGTGGACCCATGGGCTCCAGCGAGGTTGCCGTGATGGCACTAGAGAGGCCAACTCTGAAGCCTCGCCAAGGCAAAGCGACAAGATGCAACAAGCTACAGCCCTGTTTCTGTGGCAGTTCCAAATTTGACGCGTCCACTTGGGACCTTCGACTCTGCTTCCCACAAAAGTGCCCCAAAAGCAGCGGCTTCGAGAAGAAGCCTGCAGCCAGGGACAACAATCTCATTGTTCCTGTGCGGTGACTGGCTGCTTCCGGCAGTCGCAGAGCCTGCGCACGTCGGATGCGCCAAGCAAGAGCGAAGCAACCTGCGCAGCTTAGTCTTGGATGTCTGTTTAGGGACGAGCTCTGCAGCGTGCCATCTTCCACTCTGGAACATGCTGCAGTTAGGAGCCATGGGGGTTCTTTGGGTGTAGCCTCCTTGGCCTGTTGGTCCTTTCAAACACTATCTGAGCATGCAGCAGGTTACATTACATCAAGATCCTTGGTGCCGTAATGAGCTCAGCTCCCCAGGCTTCTGAGCATGAGTCTGCAATTTTTTCAACCTCGAAATCCAGAATGCTTGCAGAATCATGTCGCGTGTGTGGGTTTGCGGAAGCTGCTGGCCACAGTCTGGCCTCACCAGCAGAAACAGCCTCCTGGAGCATTGCACCAGTGTCACGGCCAGAAGACCGCCTGCAAGCACAGCAATGCTCGGGGGACTCTCCGGAGATCTGTCATGTCAGATCATATTGGCATGCCACATTGGAGTTCATATCAAGATCACTCTAGCAGTTGGCAGGCTAGGCGCAGGCCTGCTCTCGATCGACTTCATGAGTTGTCCTGCATCTGGAATCTGCAACAACCTAAGAAATTTGAGGAAAAGACGCATAGGCCTAGGCGCTGTCTTGTGCACATCATGCGACCTTCGTAGCAAAACGGCATGAGAAACGAAATGTTGCACAGGAAAGACGCGAGATGGTTCTTGGGTGGTAGAGCGGAGCCAGTGAGATTCGACAAGCAGCAACGAAACAGAGATTGCAAGATTGTCTAATTTCGACTCTTTCGGAGGCGTCCTTTCAGCATCTGCAGGTCCCCGAAGACGCCTTCTACCTGCAGTTTTGCGGCAATGTGCGCTTCCACCGAAACCATGGCGTCCTGTGCAAGGGCTGATCTGCGAGCTGCCGGCTCTACACCTGCCGCTAGTATGTCCTGGTCCTGTCACGATCACATCAGTCTTGTATACTATTTAAATAATCTTGTGTACCTATATTGTATATAAGTGTGTAAATATTTATATGTATATATATATATATATATATATTAAAATATATTATAGACAAGGCAGAAGGCCCTCGGCGCCCAGGCGCACCCTGAAATGCAGTCGAATCCGTCCAAATTACTGGAAGACGTCCTATTGTATGGAACCTTTTGGCAGGAGGACGTCCTGAAACATGCCAGGGCCGATGCGCTTCAGATAGCTTCTCAACGAATCCAAACCTGCGAATCGCAAAATGCAATGCTTCGTACAACACCAACTCGAGCAGAAAGAAGGAATAGAAAAGCATCCTTCGCTTCGAGGTGGAGAAACAAATGGCATGGCGGCCCGGAATCTGATGTGTCGAATCTCTCAGCTCTTTGGTTCCCTTCGGCCTTCTCTGGACGGATGCAAGCTGCGCTCTAGCCTTGCGATCTTGAGCGCACCCGGAACCAAGAGAACCGTAAGCTGCGTCCATACAAGGAGGACTTGTGGGCACGATTTAGGCTCTGCATGTCTGCACGCGCGGCTCCGAAGGGCCTTGACAGGCCTGATGTTGACTCATTCTTGACTGAGGTCCGGAGGCAGAAACATAATTGAACACTGTTTCACCCCTTTCGCAGCACAACTTGTGAACTGAACCGAGGCTGGTGCTGCAGTCGTGATTGAGCCCTTCGCAGGACCTCGCTTGCAAAAGTAGCCAGTTTGCATGGATTCAGCGGCTCGGTCCATATGTCTCACTGCTCTGTCCATTCTTCCTTTCGCTCGCCCGCCCAGAAGACAATGCACGGACACGGAAGTGGCTTTTCGCACTCTACGGCCGTCGTGAATGAAAGAGCGGCTAGAAACAAGACGATAGCACAGCCGGAAGAAGAGACCTGGGTCTGCGGAGTGCCCATCAACAGCCTTTGAGGCCGGGACGTATCCGTATTGGATAGTCAT